GCCGCCGCCGCCACTACTATAGCCACCACCGCCACCATACCCGCCGCCATATCCCCCGCCACCACCACCACCCCTATACCCTCCTCCCCTTCCACCGCCCCCACCACCATTAAACCCATAACCACCACCGCCACCACCATACCTCCCGCCGCCTCTACCACCACCGCCACCATATCCATCCCTTCGACCGCCGCCTCCGCCACCGCCGCCGCCGGAGTTTCCTCCGATGACGAAATCACCACCAGGGCCGGTAACATCGACGGCTTTTGTCCGACCATCCTCGCCTTCAGATACCGCAAACTCCACGGCTTCGCCGTCTGAAAGGGTCCGATAGCCCTCCGACTTTATAGATGACTGGTGCACGAAAAGGTCATCGCCACCGTCATCCGGAGTAATGAAACCGAAGCCCTTTATCTCGTTGAACCACTTCACTGTACCCTTCGACCGACCAGAGAGCTGCTCCATGTTTTCCGCAGAAAATCCCGAGAGGAGACCAGAGAGCTGCTCCATGTTTTCCGCAGAAAATCCGGAGAGGAGAGAAAAGAATAAAACCCTAACCCTAGACGCCCCAAAAAGAGGCACACACTCGACGACGGAGTCCGCTGCTACTATCGCTTGTGCGGGTTTTATAGGCGGGTTGTTGAGGACTCGTTTGGGCGGCCACGCCAGTGGGAGTGGGATCGGACGGCTATGGGTCTTTTTGGGGTTGGGGACGGCTTGGAGACGGCCGGGAGAAAAATCAATCGTTTCGATTTTTGGCACATATGAGTCCATCTGATCGCATGCCAAATGTCGCATTTTAATATTGGGACATTTACATACATACCACCCAACTCTTATGTATTTACATTTCTACTATCAAAATTTTATTATTTTTTCGTATTTATGCCATCCAAAAATATAACTTTTTATTAAGAATAAAAATTGAAATAGAGATTTTCTTGCATAGATAATGATAAGAACTATAGTTCACGTATAATACATATAAGCACATAAGAATTGAATGGTATATTTAAAAATCTTCCTTTCAATAGTAGTATTTATATACATACCCCCTAATTGAAATTCTACTAAAATTTAACTCAATTATTTTATATAAGCATTTTTAAATTAAAAGTTAAATCATTTTCATAAGATTTGTGAATATACAGTACAATATTTATGAATTTACATATATAAGATTCAAACCATAAATTTTTATATTTATGTGAACCAAAAGTATATTTTTCTCTTTTAAAGTTTGTAATAATGATATTGATGTGTACTAGAGAATTCGTAGCAATAGGGTAATGAATTATCATCTTAGCATTGTACGAGAAACCAGCACAGACTCAGATAACAAAACTGATAGGTAAAGACACCGTGAATTTTTACGTGAAAAACCAGGAAAGAGAAAAAATCACGGGATCCAACTCAATCTGAACAATCCACTGTAAATTCGTGGTTACATGGTCCACTCTTCTCCTAAATTAGTAAAAAGAAAGTTACAAAGTTGATCATTGTAGAAGTACAACACTAATTCAACGATAATAGTCATAATTTGTCTATAACAAATGCGGTTCTTGAGGATAACAGGCTTCAAAAGTTGTGCTCGGTTGTTATGGAGGTAGTAGTTCTTCGTGAATGTTCCTGATAGTAGTTGTAGCATCAGCTTATCATAAAGGTTGTGCTAAAAATCATGGTAATTGTTGGTCATGTGGGTCATAGATGGTTGTTTCAGAAGCTTGGTCGACCAAAAAAACCATAATAAAAAGTTGCAGAAGTTGTGAGAACGCCTGAAAGCCACAGAGGTCAGAGTTCGACACTGAATGAACTATGATAATGTTTATAGGCCACAGAAACTAGAGTTGGGAGCTGCATGAGTTGGGGATCATATAGGTCATAGTTTGTCACATAGGTCACAGTGGGAGTTATAATGATGTATGTAAGTCATATATGCTAGAGTTTGAGAGTTGTATGAACTGTGATAATGTATGTAAGCCTAGAGATAAAAATTGGGAGCTGCAAGAGCTATGGACTGTGTAGGCCGCACTTAGTTATATCGCCCATAGCGAGGTTTGCCTCACTTTTCGTCAACTCACCATTCAACTCAAAATCTAAAATAAGTTTTAAATAAAACACACAAAACGGAAATTAAATAGAATTAACTTCAATCAAATCCTAAAGTTGGACCGAAATATAGCTCGATAAGGGAGTATTCTAAAATAATCATTTTTTTTACTCAAAATTATTGTTTTCTCTACATTTTATTGCAGTACTTGAAATTTCATGCTATAAGCTTCATTTGGTTCATTATCAATGTATGAATAACATGAGATAAGTTTCAGGGGCTATCGGAAAAATTTTTTACGTTTGTGTGGTGAGCTTTCATGTTTGAAAATTCATCACACGTTAAAATTTTTCAATGAAGCATCATCTTACAAAATAGACTTTGTGAATGCATTTATATCGTTGAAATCCTTCAAATGAGTCTCTCCGCGTCCAAATTGGACTCTATTTTAAGGCTCATTTAGCCTATGATAGTTTGGACTGTAGTTAGAATAATATGAATGATAATTACAATTCTACCCTCGAATAAATCAAGTCAATTCCAAACCAAAAATATAATCAAATTAAGTTGAGAACATCACTGTTTGAAGCTCATCTAAAATCTCAAATTTCTCTTGTGGGTGGGGCCCACACTTTGACATGAATTTCCTCTTCTTAGAGACCACTCGATAAAAAATAATCACTCATCTTCCTTGAGAGAGATATTTCATGTTGACAAGGTTTTCGAGCTTAAAATGAACGAAGACAGTGACATCGACTTTATATATGCTTAAAAATACAAGAATTTGATGCTGCTGCTAGAAGATTTAAACCCCCAGCAACGACGCCAAAAACTTGATAATGGTTATAGATTTGATAAAAATGTGTATAAAATACTCCATAATTGCAAAGTCACACTTATCAACGTAAGTATACGTATCACTCAAGTAATACATGGCTCTAATGGAGTCCTGGATATCGATCCCACAGGGAGTAATATTAGAGGCTACGAACTAAGATTTAAAAAATCAATACTTAATCACAATAATATAGTTCAAATTCTATATTTGTCACTAATAGGTAATTGAAATAAAAATGTAATTTTAATAAACTCTTAATTAACTAATTTTACTAATAAAATTTTTAATGTGAAGTTCAATATATAAGAAAACATCCTTCTCCTTGTCAAGAAACTTAAGTGAATGAATAAATTGAATCAGTTCAAATTGTATTATGCCAAATAGGAGCATACCTATTATTTACCCTTTGGACCAGACATAAAGAACATTGACTAATCATATGCTTGATTACTAAATCTGTGGCTAGGCTGGGAGGATACCAGCTCTCACTTCAGAGCTCCCACATTCCCCTCGTCTGAGGACTAACATCTACACTTCAGCACCCAAACGATAGGACCAAATTAGAAATTTTAGTCTATCACTCTAAAATCTCCAATTCTACACAACAACAACAACAACAAAGCCTTAATCCCACTACGTGGTGTAATCCTCACTTTAGTTGTAAAACTCAATATATTTTAACAAATCAATTGGCCAGATTGAAAGTAAATTAAGGTTAAAGTGAAAAGATCATCACAACTTCTTTAACACTCTCATGGCACAACCAATTCAAATCACCATTTTACAAAATCTTAAGACAAGGAGAAAGACAGAGAAAACTACTCAGAACTCATGGAGAAGATACTACAAAACTTAGAATTTATATATAAAAGTAAAGTCATACAAACGTCAATAAGTAAATACAACTTATCTTTAATTCCTCCCCAAGCAAACTCCTCAAAGTTCCTCTGAATCTCTTCCTTGTTTTACAACACACAGCATTTTCCTTCGAAGCGACAAGGAGGAAGAAATCTCTCACTTTCCTTCCACTCTTACAATCTCTCGAAGAATTCCTCACAATACTAACCATTCTCTACACTCTTATGGGCACCACAAACAACAAAGACTCAGCAGACACCCCGCGGACACCCCTTTTTTCGGCCTCCAAATGTTTCTTTTAAAGTTCTAGAAGAGTTTTCAAGGGTTGCGTTTTCAAGGCAAGGGTTGCCCAAGCGTCCCTTCAAAAATTGTCCACATTCAATGCATGTGTTGAGAGAACCGACGTGCTCGTCATCGGCGGCATCGATGGCGCCGTCGGCGGCCTTTTATAATATTTAATTTTGGACTCTTAGGAAAAAATTGTCGTCGGCGGCGTCGAGCTCGTTGTCGGCGCCCAATATCAAATCTTCATATTTTGGTTCTTTTTGCTCCAAATTTTCTCTTTTTTGCATCTTTTTTCTCCAATGACCATAATTCAACATACCTGCAACAAAACATCAAAAATACCTTTTTTAAAGTATAATATCATCAAAATCAGTGTAAAATAGGTATGAAAATCTCAACATATTTTCCTTTGGTCAGACAGCCCCGAGCCACAGTATTGGTCAGCGCAACTGCGCTATTCTTGGTCATGGTTATTCCAGACTTGGCATACCCTTGGTCATGGTTATGCCAGACTTGACATACCCATGCTAATTCTTGCGTTGTAACGCCAAGGCTAGATCTTAGGCATTCTGATCCTACTTCTTTAATAATTTAACCACTTCATGAGGTGGTGTGACCACACCGACCTCATTTCTCTAACAACTTGTTGACCTCACTTTTGGTTGAGGTCTAGCTTTTCCTCTTTAATAGCTTAGGGTCTAGCCACATGACTTTCCTGTTGACTATTCTTAGAAGACTAGAAAATGTACCCTTACCATTAGAAATTCTGAACTCTTCTTTACTCAACTTGAAGTTCTACATATTGGTCCTAACCTCTAGCACTTATTAGGTGGGATCAATATGAGGAAGCTCAAGGAGAGTTCTCATAGAATGGTCAATCCTTAGGACTAACCCGGGGTGGTCTAGTCTTGGTTAGACTAGCTTGCAAACACTACACTTTCTCACACACCCCAAACCCTAGGATCCTTTGATTTAGGCCCCGTTTGAGGCAGCTTATTTTGCTGCGGCAGCATTTTGAAAACACCGCCGCCCCGCCGCAGCGTTTGTTTTGGCGTTATATGCTGCGTTTTTATATCGGCGTTAATCGGGTATTCGATATTACTTTTATCCATAGAACGCGGGGGAGGGGTTTTGTTTGGCATTGGCTAGGGCTTATTTTCCTCCTGTGCTCCTGTGGATTCTCTCTCGTGTTCTTCCCCGTGATCTCCATTACTGATCTTCTCGTGTGTAAACTTCTAGTGAGATCTTGCGTAAATTATAGAAATGACACTCCTTTGATCTTCCTGGTTCGTTTATGCGGCTCAAATGTTTTTTTTTGTGTTCCTTTGGTATTTTTAGGCCTAGAAGGCAACTACGAAGCTTTTTAGGTTCTTCTATATGCTCTCGAAATGTTCTCCATAGATCTTCTCTGGCTTTTATGCCCTTATGTTTTTCTTTTTTGGGATTCTTAGCTCTTACATTTAGGGATTTTTAGATCTTGCTCTGAAAATGGATGAAAATGGATCAGTGCATTTAGATGACGCACTGCTCTGGAAATAGATCTTCTATACGCCGCACTCCTTTTTTGGGATTTA